CCGACAGTTGACCAACACCCCTAGGTCCTTCTCTGCCAGGCAGCTCCAGCCACTCTGCCTGGGGTTTTTGTGCCCCAAGTGCAGGACCTGGCACTTGGCCTTGATGAACCTCATCCCGCAGAGGATCTGCTGTGACACCTGAGTTTGGGAGAGCAATGAACTATCCTGTCTGATGGCAGCACCCAGGTTCTGCCCTTCTCCACCACCATGGGCAGGAATTCGGGCTGTCTGCTGTTGTGTCTAGGTGAGGGCACCACAATCTCTCCGTGGATTGGCACCGAGTTTGCTGTCTTAAGCTTCTGCAGTCTTGCTGATCTTCAAAAAAGATGAAAGCTGCAGTTTCACAATCACAAATGCCACGTTTGGGCAATTCCTGAGCTCAGGGAACACATTCAGCCCAGGTAGGGTGTGTGAACATCCAGCCCTGCTCTTGCTGAATCAGAGTAAGAGCCTGACCATCAGTGGAAAAAAACAATAGCTGCTCTGGCTTAATACCTGCCAGGATGAATTTATCAGGCTGACAATTTGGAAGAGCTGGGGATTAGCAGCATGAAACTACACCTGATCTTGCCCTGCGATTCCTGGTGACTCCGGCGTTTGGACCTGGCATTGCTCGCCCTTACAGCTGGATTTGTTATCAAACAGCAGCCTTAAAGTTCAAAAACGTTACCCTTTTATCATCTCAACTCACCTTCCATGAAGAAATATAAAATTAAAACCAACACTCACGTTCCAATCTACCCATTCAATTGAATTTTTGATGTAAATATATCTAATTCAGCAAAGACGTCGCTAGCACAGGTTCCTTGTAGCTGTAGAAGGGGGGAAACTACACCCCTGCTATTAAACCCTTAATTTGTGAACTCTCTGAAGGATTAATTTCCCTTCTGATCTGCCCCCCCCAGCCCCAGTGACCCAGTCAACACCCCTGCTATTAAACCCTTAATTTGTGAGCTCTCTGAAGGATTAATTTCCCCTCTGATCCCCCTCCAGCCCCAGTGACCCAGTCTGACAGGGACTCTGCCAGGTGGAGAGGCCAGACAGAGCCCTGCCCAGCTTAGCAGCATCGCGCCAGACGGAAAACGTCTGCATCTGCAGATGGAGGAGAAGCTCATTAGAAACAGTCTCACAGCGAGGTGAGATCTGCCTGAAATCGTGCACCTTAGCAGCTTTGAGATTTAATTATTAATTTTTTTTTTAAATATATAGGATGCTGCACAATATCCCATCTTAATTCTAACAGAAATAACCCAGAAAGGAGTGCAAAAATCTATCTCCATCAGGTCTCTGTACCTTCTCCCTCTCTCTCTCTCACATACAGTCGCTTAGGATTAAGGTTTAATATTCTCCTCTTCCTCTTCTGCCAGACACAGTACCTCAGCCACCAGCTTGTTGGACAAGTCCTCTCAAATTGCAGTTGGAACTCACTCTGTAAAACAACAAATACTTTCTAAATGGCTTGAAAAAACAAAAAAAGAGGCACCGAAAACTCTCAGTTGCAGCGGCAAAGAGGTGTTGGCACCGCGGCACCTGCCCGTTTATAACCCCACAAAAGGAGAAAAAAAAGACCTGAAATTGTGGGTGATTTAGTTTTCAAGGTTAATTTAGGCTGCACTTGGGAGAAAAGCTGAGCTACCCTAAGGAGGACAAGTGCTTTTGTAATCCAGGGAGGTCTGGAGAACGTTTAGAAGGCACCACCCAGTGGTAGAAATCCACATGGACATCTAGGAGTAAGCTTTATAGGGGGGGAATGAATAATTCCCTCAACTTTCTTTTCTCCCACATTTCAAGACGGAAAATAAAAATAATTAAAAAAAAAAATATCAACATTTTCATTATATTGTATATTAACTCACAGAAAAATAAATACTTCTGAACCTAAAAAGAAAAAACAAAACAAACCAAAACAGGTTGCGCTTGATATAATCAATGTATGTAGTTATCCCTCTAAAATTTAACACTTTTCATCTATATCCTTCGCTCTTTCCAGGATTTTATTAAATCACCCCAATCCTAATTGCTCCCAGCAGAGATTCCTTCATTTCCTAACGGCAGAAACACAGTTTCTTACCGTTGTTATAACTGGGAAACTGGTGCTTTGGATCAGATAATACGGCGGTGATTCTGTAATAAATGATTGGACTTGCTGGTAAGGACAGGCTCAGGGCAAATCCTATACATTGGGCATCCCTATACATTGATTTCCAAGCCAGTTTTCCACAAACATAAGAGTTTTGCTCATCTTTGGTGTGGAAAAGGTAATATTCTGAAGAAAGGCTTCCACCTGGAGACAAAGTCAGTGGTAACTCACTCAATGACTCCGCAGAGCGATTAATTGCCGATGGTTTCAACCGTTCAAGGGTTTAATTGGCACAAAATATCCCTTTTTGGGAACAGTCTGAAAAAGCAGCCACGTTTCAAGTGGGCAATGGAAAGCAGAAGCACATGTTTGGAAAATCCACATGTAACTCACTCTTAACTTGAACACCTAGGTTGGTTTTAAACCTAAAAAAGGGATTGCATTCTTCCTAAAGCAACTTTAGAGGGAGTGTTAGGACCACAAAGATGCTGAGGGGCCTGGAGCATCTCTCTGCTGAGGAAAGGCTGAGGGACTTGGGTCTTTTGAGTCTGGAGAAGAGAAGACTGAGGGGGGATCTGATCAAGGCCTATAAATACTTGAAGGGTGGGTGTCAGGAGGATGGGGCCAGGCTTTTTTCAGTGGTGCCCAGGGACAGGACAAGAGGAAACAGGCACAAACTTGACCATAAGAAGTTCCACCTCAACATGAGGAGGCACCTCTTCACTTTGAGGGTGGCAGAGCCCTGGCCGAGGCTGCCCAGAGAGGTGGTGGAGTCTCCTTCTCTGGAGACATTCCAACCCCGCCTGGACATGTTCCTGTGGGACCTTCTGGAGGTGGCCCTGCTTTGGGAGGGGGTTGGCCTAGATGATCTCCAGAGGTCCCTTCCAACCATAGCATTCTGTGATTCTGTGTTTATACCACCAGGCACTGCAGCCTGAGACCACAAACAGGCAAAAATCAATTAAGTTTACTCCCAAAAGAAGAGCATTTTCCCTTAATGAAAAAGCAGACACTGAGCTTTAATACCTGGAAGCTGTGGAAGAAGTTGCTTCTACCAGAAGAGCAATGTGTGACGTCCCAGTAACTTCACAGGAAAAGATTTTACCATCTCACAGCGTGACAAAGCCCCTCATCAGAGGCTTTGGCAGGAAATGAAGAGGATAAAAAAGGAATGATATGGGAATAAGCAGCTGGCTCACACAGCAAAGGAAGGTTACAAGCAGGATGTACGATCATCTGCACCGAGAGCACATTCTTAAGTCAGCTGGAAAATGAGGTGGACATCGTCGTGATGCGTTTTGCAGAACATACACAATTATTCAGGATGACCACATTCAACTCTCGCAACTACAATCGCACACGGATCTCAAAAAAGTGAGTGATAAAAGTGAGAAAAGGGGGAAATGAAACATTACATGCAAAATGAAGTGCACGAAGGGGATTATTCTTTACTGTACCCTACACAGTGACGAGCTCTGAAAGAAGTGTGCACTTGCAGCCCAGAAGGCCAATCCCATCCTGGGCTGCATCAAAAGATGCGTTGCCAGCAGGTCCAGAGAGGGGATTCTTCCACCTTACTCTGCTCTGGTGAGACCTCACCTGGAGTATTGTGTGCAGGTCTGGAGCCCTCAATAGAAGGACATGGACCTGATGGAGAGGGTCCAGAGGAGGGCCACAAGGATGATCAGGGGGATGGAGCACCTCTGCTACAAGGACAGGCTGAGGGAGCTGGGGTTGTTCAGCCTGAAGAAGAGGAGGCTCCGGGGAGACCTAATAGCAGCCTTCCAGTACCTGAAGGGAGCCTACAGGAAGGCTGGGGAGAACCTGTTTAGAAAGGCCTGCAGTGACAGGACGAGGGGCAATGGCTTCAAGCTGGAGGGGAACAGCTTTAGACTGGAGATGAGGAGAGGGTTCTTCACTGGGAGGGTGGTGGAGCACTGGAACAGGTTGCCCAGGGAGGTGGTTGAGGCCCCATCCCTGGAGATATTCAAGGAGAGGCTCGACGAGGCCCTGGGCAACCTGGTCTAGTTGGGGGTGTCCCTGCTGACTGTGGGGAGGTGGGACTAGATGGCCTTTGGAGGTCCCTTCCGGCCTGGGCAGTTCTATGATTCTATGAACTGCCACTACACAGAGATGAGATCTTGGAAAAACCATGGCCAATTCTCTGAAAATGAGAGTTCAGTGATTATCCAGAGTCACAGAAGGAAGAGGGAGTTATTATGGAAGGAAATAAGAAAACATCCTGCTTTATAAAATCAATGTGGCAACTGTATCTTGAACAGTGAGACCCCACTAACCCTGAGTAAGATACGTTAGAAGGAGGACAGCAGATATTGGGTTAGATGAAGACCTTGTTTGTTTTTTTGTTGTTTTTTTTAAATCCCTAAAACCAGCTCTAAATATTTCTACAGTCATTAAAGACACTGAATCCATAAAAGCCCCAGGAACGGTGATCAACTGTTATCCACCAGTTCTAACAGCACTTGCCTTGACCTGAATTTCTTGCCAGGCTGGACAATCAGGTTTTGAATAAGCTCCCAGTCTTTCCCAACCCTCCCAGCTCGAGCCAGCGGAGCGGCAAGAAGCAGCTGGAGATGAGCAATATTTTGGCAGAGGATGAGGAAGAGTAAAAGCTGACGTCTTTGCAACGATATTAAGTCACAATCTCAGCACAAGCCCAAGAGATGCAGATGATACTGTCCCAGGAAATTAAGAGTTGCAATTTCCACATTTAAATTTAATTCCCCCTCCCCACCTTCTCTCTCTTTCTAGAGAATTCTAGTAAATCTATCTAGTTAAACACCAATTATTCCTCAGCCAGAAAAAACAGCCTCTCCACAACCCAACGCTGACTTCCCAAAGGTAACAAATCTCAGAGCGATTTACTTTTAAAATAAACAAATAAAGGAACACCAAGCCCTTTTTTAATTTTCTGTTATGTTTGTTTATTGTTCTTTTGGGAGGCACAGTGGAGATTTCAGCTTTGGCTGATTTTCTTTTCCCTTACAAAAGAGCAGGCTCCAGGTAACAGCCATTGATCTACAATCAGTACAGACTTAATAAGGCTGCCAATTAAATTTTTTTACATTTCCTGATGATAAGAGAGGGGCACATGTGCCAGGCAGCAGGTAGAGGAACACTTTAAACCCTACTTGCTTAAAGGGCTACACTGACTGCTATTTTTAAGGCAGGTTTGGTGAAAGTTGGACAGGCAATTTCCTCAGGAAACGACAAGAATTTCGCCTACAGAAATATATTACTTTTGATTGAAAAGAGGCTTTGAGAAAATACTTCGTTAGTGTGAAATTATATCGATGTTACACTTCCTTTACTTAGAAAGACATTCAGCTTTTTGTTCAGAACTCAAGACTTCTCAGCTATTCCTTTACCTTGCAGGAACGGCACAAAAGGAAGGCGGGGAGTGAGGCTTTATTGGCACAAAAAGGCAGAAGTTTCTCAGGAATTTAGGAATTTGGGGAATTCCTGCAGTCTCCGGAATCTCTCAGGCCGTGTTCTCGATGATGACAGCGATACCTTGGCCACCGCCGATGCAAGCCGAGCCGACCGCGTACTTCCCACCACGACGCCTGGATGGACAAAGTAAGAGTGAAAATTATTTCTTTTTATGAAACCACAATAACTGTTTTCCTCATTTTCCTCATTTTATCAACTAATGACTACTAAAGTTGAAGTTCTAGAATGTGTACGCTCTTCTTTTTCTGGAAAAATATCGTAAAGCTTCAACTGATGTTGAAATATTTTTGTAGAAAAACAAGGATTTGCAAAATCTGAGTCTTTTACTATCTAAAAGATGCTACGTTATCATGAATATTTTTGTAGAAAAACAAGGATTTGCAAGGTCTGAGTTTTTTACCATCTAAAAGACAGTACATCATCACGGAATGGGGTTGGAAGGGACCTCTGGAGATCATCTAGGCCAACCCCCTGCCAAAGCAGGGCCACCCAGAGCAGGTCCCACAGGATTGTGTCCAGGTGGGGTTGGAATGTCTCCAGAGAAGGAGACTCCACCACCTCTCTGGGCAGCCTCTGCCAGGGCTCTGCCACCCTCACACAAAAGAAGTTCCTCCTCATGTTGAGGTGGAACTTCTGATGGTCAAGTTTGTGCCTGTTCCCTCTTGTCCTGTCCCTGGGCACCACTGAAAAAAGCCTGGCCCCATCCTCCTGACACCCACCCTTCAAGTATTTCTAGGCCTTGATCAGATCCCCCCTCAGTCTGCTCTTCTCCAGACTCAAAAGACCCAAGTCCCTCAGCCTTTCCTCAGCAGAGAGGTGCTCCAGGCCCCTCAGCATCTTTGTAGCCCTCTGCTGTCCCCTCTCCAGCAGTTCCCTGTCCTTCTGGAACTGGGGAGCCCAGAACTGGACCCCGTGCTCCAGCTGGGGCCTCCCCAGGGCAGAGCAGAGGGGCAGGATGACCTCCCTCCACCTGCTGGTCCCACTCTTCCTGATGCCCCCCAGGATGCCATTGGCCTTCTTGGCCACCAGGGCCCATTGCTGCCTCATGGGCATCCTGTTGTCCACCAGGACTCCCAGGTCTTTCTCCTCAGAGCTGCTCTCCAGCAGGTCACCCCCAACCTGTCCTGGTGCAGGGGGTTATTCCTTCCCAGGTGCAGCAATGTTATGTGTTTTTTAGAAATAAAAAATGGCAAAGAACACTACAGGCTTCTTGTGGTTTCAACACATAATAAAGACGACATAAGTAATATCTAATTTTATTGCCAAGGTAGTTTTTAAAAGCTAAGCTTTCTAAGAAACTAATTTTTCTGCAAGGTGCAAATGAGCTGAGGTTTTGTGGTTGAACATTAACACAGTGTTGCAAGTACAAGTGAAAAAGATACAGTGATCTCTGCCCTGAGGGAATAAAAAAAAGAAACCAGTATATCTTAGCGTGGAAAGTTTAAAGCCAGTGGAAGAGAAGATTTTAGTCCCACAGTATCCACCTAAAAATCTTTTGCAGGCATAAATGTATCAGAATTGTAGTCACCAGCAGAAGCTATAGGTTAATACCATATATACCTTAATTCATGGACCAGATGAGCCGTGATCCGGGATCCCGAAGCACCCAAAGGATGGCCGATAGCGATGGCGCCTCCGTTGACGTTGGTTTTTTCAGGGTCGAGGCCCAAAACCTTTTCGACAGCCAGATACTGAGGTGCAAAAGCTTCGTTCACCTAAAAGAGCAGAGAAAGAACACAACTCTTCACGGCTGACTTGCCACACCAGCTTTCTGTGCCATCTGGGCACACAAGATTAAACGAGGTGGGTTTCTTCTCCAGGTCGTTTTGACTGAGAAAAATATTCAACTCTGCGTTTATAAAAACATCCCCAGACAAAATATAAATTTTCAGGCCAACCCAATGTAAATTCACATCCTTCTGGCACAGGTGATACGAAGTATGTAGGTAGTATATTTTATTTTAAAAATGGCATGAAATATTCTGATTTAATGTGTTCATGAAGAACGTGTTTCTCTGACACAAAAATAAGGAATGGAGAAGTGTGACTAACTTAAAAGTAACTGGGGAGAGATTAGGGATCTTATCAACACTTATAAATATCTAAAGGGTGGGTTTCCTTCTCTGGAGACATTCAAACCCTGCCTGGACAAAGAATCACAGAATGACATGGGGGTGGAAGGGACCTCTGGAGATCATCTAGGCCAACCCCCTGCCAAAGCAGGGCCACCCAGAGCTGGTTGGACAGGAACCCATCCAGGTGGGGTTGGAATGTCTCCAGAGAAGGAGACTCCACCACCTCTCTGGGCAGCCTCTGCCAGGGCTCTGCCACCCTCACACGAAAGAAGTTCCTCCTCATGTTGAGGTGGAACTTCCCATGTTCAAGTTTGTGCCCATTTCCTCTTGTCCTGTCCCTGGGCACCACTGAAAAAAGCCTGGCCCCATCCTCCTGACACCCACCCTTGGAGTATTTATAGATGCAAAAGCCCCAAGTCCCTCAGCCTTTCCTTGTGAGGGAGATGCTCCATGTTTGTAGCCCTCTGCTGTCCCCTCTCCAGCAGTTCCCTGTCCTTCTGGAACTGGGGAGCCCAGAACTGGACCCAGTGCTCCAGCTGGGGCCTCCCCAGGGCACAGTAGAGGGGGCACATCTTCCTGTGCAACCTGCTCTGGGTGGCCCTGCTTTGGCAGGGGGTTGGAGTAGATGATCTCCAGAGGTCCCTTCCAACCCCATATCATCCTGTGATTCTGTGAAAACATTAACAGTCCAGCCAACAGCGTAAAACTCCACGTCACACGAGGCTATTTTTTGTTCCATGGAATGCTATCACGCCATTTTCAACTTCCACGTGCCTGAGATTTTTGCAATGACTGTTCAACCCTGGGGTAGAAACTAGACAGGGACAGAGGTGAGGCCAACAAGCTAAGACAGGTGAACTCCAGCCAGACAGAAGCACCCACCTTGTGATGATGGGCTACATCTATGAGAACGTTTCTGCTAAAATATTAGGAGTTACCTCACTGTTCAAGTTAAAACTCCTTACCTCTACCAAATCCATGTCCTTCAGGGTCAAGCCCGCTTTCTTCAGAACCTCAGTAATTGCAGGTACAGGGCCTATGTGGAAATTGCATGCTTAGTTAGTTAAATAAATAAAAAATAAAGGCTTATAAATATGTAATACATAGGATAGCTTCATAAAGCCTCATCAGATCCCCTCCCACGAGCCTCCGTGCAGCCAATGAACTCTGGCTATGCCACTCACCTGATTTATCAGCTGGGAAGAGAACTCCTAAATCTCAAAACTATTTGGCAGCTTTCTCAACACAGAGCCAGAGAAATTTAGGAGCGTCGTTACTGCTGCAAGGCTCTGTTGGTAAACACCCACACAGCTTTCAAGTCAAGAGAACCGACAGATCCCAGCCAAAGAAAAGAACTTGATGACATTTTTTGAGGAGGGCCTATGTGGAAATTGCATGCTTAGTTAGTTAAATAAATAAAAAATAAAGGCTTATAAATATGTAATATATAGGATAGCTTCATAAAGCCTCATCAGATCCCCTCCCACGAGCCTCCGTGCAGCCAATGAACTCTGGCTATGCCACTCACCTGATTTATCAGCTGGGAAGAGAACTCCTAAATCTCAAAACTATTTGGCAGCTTTCTCAACACAGAGCCAGAGAAATTTAGGAGCGTCATTACTGCTGCAAGGCTCTGTTGGTAAACACCCACACAGCTTTCAAGTCAAGAGAACTGACATTCCCCAGCCAAAGAAAAGAACTTGACGACAGTTTTGAGGCCTTCTCCTTCCCAGGACTCTTGGTTCAGCTTATTCTTCCCTCACAACTTGCAGTTTCCAAGTAGAGAAACTGCAGAAGAAGGACAGGCTGTTCTAGAGTTTGCTAATTATGTGTTTAGTTAAGGGTATTGTTGGTTTTGTGCCCTTAATATAATTTCTCTGAAAATCTTCTAGTCAAAAAAACTAACAATAAAATATTCCCTTGGATCCAGGTCCTGGTCAAATGAAGACAGTAAGATTTTTAATTTTTTTTTTAAATAATATTGCAAAGTTTGGCATTAAACTGTTCTCTGGAAGAAATGTGACATCTACAGACGTAGTATAAACCACCAGGGGACATTCATCTCAAAGCACAGCTACCTAAGGAAAGAGGCACTCCAAGAGAATTTGAAAGGGTTCATTAGATACATGCTTGTAGGACAAAGATATTGAGATGTTTGATGGTAGGTGACCACCAGACAAAAAAACCCCCCAGTCCTAAACCGTTAACAATCCTAAATGCGATCTCACTATTGAAAAAACGGTGTCGAAAACTCAAAGCTCAAAGAATAAAAAAGCATAAAGATGAGAAAATGACCAAAGAGACAGAAAAATTAAAAGAAGGGCCCAGTTCAAAGCTCAGTGGATTATTAGAAAGCCTCAGGCTGCTTAATACTGGTCTCTAAATGCATCTCATTATGGAGAGATTTTAGTATGCCTGTTACGCCTGAGAGTAACGGGAGGGTCTCGTGTGGACAATACAAAGACCATTGATGACAGCCAAGGAGACTTTCCCCCTCCTTTCTTTTTCTTTTTTTTTGAAAATAATGAATTCTCTCACTAGACACTGTGAGGCAGGATTCCCCATCACTCTCCGAATGTGAAAGGGCAGTTCTGGATTTTTTTTTTTTTTTGAGTTGCTGGGGACAAGGCGCGGCGTTAAGGAGTTAGGATGCTATTTCTCTAATTTATGAAGTTTTTAAACAAGCTCAAAGATTTGCCTGCCTTAGAAAGAAGGGGCTGGTTTAGAAAGCACAATGACTGGCATGAAAGAAACCCTCCCTCCACATTTGCTTTGAAGGTTGCAGTTAGTCAGATAGCGTCCAGGGAAGAAAACAAATCCCACAATGCTTCATTTGCATTTCTACTGCCACATGGAACCAGTCCACAATGACCTCTCTGAAGAGAAAGGCAGAAAGGAGAAGGGATACGACGCTGTCTACAAACTAAAGAGAAGGGAAAAATCCCAGGGTTTATCTGGAGCAGCTTGGAGGGTTTGTGTGCTTTAAAAGCTTCTTGATTTCATGGAACCGGTCCACAATGACCTCTCTGAAGAGAAAGGCAGAAAGGAGAAGCCATAGGACGCTGTCTACAAACTAAACAGAAGGGAAAATCCCAGGGTTTGTGTGGAGCAGGTTGGAGGGTTTGTTTGCTTTAACAGCTACTTGATTATCTCTGAAGAGAAAGGCAGAAAGGAGAAGGGATACGACGCTGTCTACAAACTAAAGAGAAGGGAAAAATCCCAGGGTTTATCTGGAGCAGCTTGGAGGGTTTGTGTGCTTTAAAAGCTTCTTGATTTGGAAGCATCAAATATGTTTCTAATTAAAAATAAAAAAAAAAAAGAGAGAGAAGTAGTGGGTTTGCCCCTCCCTGACCAAGAGTCCCTCCCCAGCTTTCCTGGAGCCCCTTGAGGGACTGGAAGGGGCTCTAAGGTCTCCCCGGAGCCTTCTCTTCTCCAGGCTGAACAATCCCAGCTCCCTCAGCCTGTCAAAAAATACCTGAACAGACACATATCCTGGAATCCAATCTCAGATCCCTGGAGCCTTCTCTTCTCCAGGCTGAACAATCCCAGCTCCCTCAGCCTGTCAAATAATACCTGAGCAGACACGTATCCTGGAATCCAATCTCAGGTTGAGAAACTGAAAAGTAGGCAACACTCCTTCGGCAAGAGGTGAAGAAAACAACTCATAGTTGCACTTTTAATAATGGGATTTAAGGCCCACAGGGAACTCAAGTCAATTTCAGGAGAAAAGCATTTCTAAAAAGATTGAGAGAGTGCCTATTTTCTGGAGTTACTAACAGAGAGAGTAAAAAAAGGGAGAAAATAAGGTGCCTTGGGGGAGTATGGTTCAGTAAATCAGTCTCTCTGCGTAAGAGGGATGGAAGAAACACCACAAACATCTTGAGAGCTACCAGCCTGAGCGCGCTGCAGCCTCCCTTTCTTTCCTTTAAAATGCCCAACGCGAAGGCTGGTCTCTTCTCACAGGTAATTAACGACAGAACGAGAGGGAACGGCTTCAAGCTCCAACAGGGTAGGTTTAGACTGAACATTGAGCCAGCAGTGTGCCCAGGTGGCCAAGAAGGCCACCAGCATCCTGGCCTGTATCAGGAACAGCGTGGGGAGTAGGGCCCAAGAGGTGATCATCCCCCTTTACTGAGCACTGGTGAGGCCCCACCTCGAGTGCTGTGTCCAGTTTTGGGCCCCCTACCATAAAAAAGACATGGAGGTGCTGGAGCGGGTCCAGAGAAGAGCAACAAAGATGGTGAGGGGTCTGGAGCACAAGTCTTATGAGGAGAGGCTGAGGGAACTGGGGTTATTCAGCCTGGAGAAGAGGAGGCTGAGGGGAGA